TCATAGTCAGCGCATGAGTCACACACATAACATAACCATGAGCAACATACTTCAAAGCGAAAATTTTGCTATCGACTTGATCACTGGACGAAGAAGCTCCTGTTGCTAGCTTGAGTGAAGATATCACACTTGACTGCTTCTTCTGGAGGCGATCTACTAATTCTATGGCCTCACGCATTTCTTTCATACATCTGAACAAAAAAAAAATTATCTCGAAAAGCAAAGTGGCAAAAAACATACTCTTGCTTTTGTTTTTCCAGAAAAGCCATCTCCACTTCACAAGTCTTCCTTAATAGTGGTTGAAGTGCAAGAGGTACCCCTCCTGTTCCATTCTCTTCCAGCCTAATGGTTGTGTATTACAATGAAAGATGTGAAACTTGCTATTTCGGGAAAACACTGAGTCAGGGAGCACTCACCTACGCTCTGCTTCTTCCAGTTGCACACGTAGGCTGTCAACTTCTGTCTGACTCACCTCACCATCAGCAGTAGACCTGAGATATTACAATTATTAACTACCATTTGTAATCAGTTTACCACGTACCTCTTGTTTCTTTCTTCATTCCACTTCTTCTGCACGGAGTCAAACTCATTCTCCATGTTCTTCAACTCCTTCAGCTTCTGTGACAACTCTGTCACCTGCATCCGTGCTCGCTGTCTTTGTTTGACGTAGAGGATAAGAACAGAGGTGAGTAGAAGGAGCTGGCAACATTTGATTAAGATGGGAATGGTTATGTAAAGTGTGATTTACAATTATACGAACACCGCCTCTTCTGCACGAGAATTTTCAAAAGAAGCAAAAAGCGGTTACATGGTAGATGAAACGGTATAGCTAGAGAAAAATGGTAACTCAAGGTCAATTTGGGGGAGAATTTTGTGCCAAACTTATACTAATAGGTTCCTATAGTCATCGCTACAATATGTTGGTAAATTTTAGGATCACATACTCAGAGCTCAGATTATTTGTTATACGCTGAGCCCAACTTTGATCAAAGATGTCCCACTTTCTTCTACCGCAAAGAGAAAACAGCTGGTTATAAGAACTAGAAAACCCATACAAGCTTTTCAGGGTAAGTAATGTTTTTGACAGGTGATATGAGCGGCGCTGGAGAGAGAGGGCTTCTGGGCTATAAATTTCTTCTGCCGTCCCTAAATTCTATAGCGAATTGAGCACATCGTATTCATGATGATGTATTAAAAATTTGAAGTTTTATTTTGCACTGCCATAGCTTTCTAGCTGAGAAGCAGAGCAGAAGAGAAAAGTATGATGGTGAGTTGGCACAATCATTTTTATGTGAGACGAGCATAGTAAGGTAAACAAGTCCGCGTAGAATAAATATGCACAAGTTCCGGGATTTTTAAGTTATGCGCACGTACATATCATTATAGATACAATGTGTCTACCTCATCACGGTGTTTATTGAACAGTCTTTTGAAGTTAAGTCATACAAACCTGCGATGAATGTGTTTTCAAAAAAGGCAGCGGATGCACAAGCTTTTCAAGCACGTCCAATATATTTTTTGGATTACTTGCAACTTTTAGCCTTTGTATAGGACCATTAAGGACTCGAAAACCCAGTACAGCGGTAAATAGTTGGTAAGGACTGAATCTAAAGCATACATATTAATAGTCACTGCTATTTTATCAGGATGAGATAGCTCTAGCGTTAGCTAATATGGTCTCTGATTCTCGGATTACCTCGGAAATAGCAAAAGAAGGGGTGTTCGTGCAATTACGCCACTTTACAAAAATGCTTACCA